GAGGAAAATAAATATGTAATTTATTTTTGGTAGAATTACTTACATATGTGGACTTGCATTACATAATTTTATGTTTTGTTTTCCAACAATTTATGCGGTGGTTACTTTTTATCAATAAATTCAAAATATAGTATTTATTTTGGGTGATAATATACAGAAGCTTTTTCCCCACATCTTAGTTTCTGTGTGATTTTTTTTCTCTTCATTTTATCCAAGGTGGCTTCCTCCTAATAATACAGTAGGTACATGCAAGTAAGTAATTATGGGGAGAGATTCAAAAATGCCTAAGGGGGGTTAGGAAAACAAGACCCACTGAAAGTCATCTAAATCCCTCCTATGTCCCTGAGTTGCTTTTGAAACTTTCCCCCTTAGTTTGCTTTGGGAGAGCTTTAGATATAAGGCATCTCATGTTCTTTATTTAAAATTATGTGGGAGCCATACAATCCTTTTGTCTACTGTACAATGGAATATTTTAATTTTGCTACATATTTAATTAATGGAATAATTATTACTATAAGAAAACATCTGTTTATTTCAGACAGGAGGTTTGTGTGCAGAATGACAGTAAGTTTAGGATTCTGAATAGATGTTACTCTTCCTAAAATGTAAGAACTGTTTTCTGATTTTATTGGAATCAAGACCAAAACTCCCACCCACTTCAATTGTACCAGCATATGACCCCAAGTAAAATTTGAATGCAGTTTTGTAGTGTGTGTGTGTGTGTGTGTTCTGAATGGATGAGGAGAGAGGATGCAGGGATAGACCAAAAAAAAATACCCGCGCAAAAGCCAAAAATGAGTTAGTCTGTGGTAGAGCTCGTCGGGAAATTTTCAGCAAAACAGGGTCTTGAACTTGGGTCTCCCATATGCCATATGAGTAAACCCACCCTCAGGCTATTTGTGTGGGTGTGATTGATTTATTGATTGTGATTTTTCATCCAAAAATATTGAAAGGTCTATTTTGGGATGATGCAGAATGGGAAAATTTTCATGGAAGAAGAAGACCGTTTCTCACCCAGCTCTACTCTGAGGTTTGAAACACAGTTGGTTTACAGGAAGCTGTCAGTAGCACATGTACATCCAATAATATAGAACTACGTGTTAGACACCATACAGGCACTGCAAGGATGGTCCCATATAAGTACCTAGATGTATAGTACTGTGTCCCAGGTGCTTTCGGTTGTCTTCAGGAGAGAGCACTTCCTCTGCATCCCTCAGGCAGCTTCTGAGGTATATTAAAAGATGAGTCTCCCTCTGTACCCTACGTACTTTACAGAATGCACCACTGCATGCTTTGTAAAGTGCACATAAGATTCACAAGGATTGAGACAAGGACTTCAGGCCCTGTGCATCTTGTCAAATGCATAATCATGTGTGGGAGGTCACTGCACTTTATAAGGGACTAAAACAAAGGCTTCCACATGGACAAGCAGCTTAATTCCCCAGTCCCCATCACTTGATGTCTTCAAAGGGGGCTGTGGCTGGCTGGAAGCTTTTAGAGGACAGTGGATTGTCAGGTTGTGGAGGGATGTAGGGAACAGTGTTATGGGGAGAGATGGTTTGCATGAGAAGAAACGCAAGTTGTCCTAGCAGGCACCTTCCACAATTGCAAAACTATTGAGTGTCATGGAATAAGAGCACTCCTATTGTGTGGCTCCTTAACACGCCTACAGCTACAGAAACGCCTGTCAGCTGGTGAAGCTTGTGAGAGAGGTCACTGTGGCCTCCTAGGAAGTGGGGTCAAGGAGCCATTAACTTTGGAACTCTTCTGTGGACATTAGCAGTGTACTTATCTCCTGTACAGGCCCAACAGAGCAAGAGGAGAGGGAAGTCCTCTTTCTGCACACCTTGGGAGGACCAAGCAAGAACAGTTTAAGTCCAGTGGTTTTCAGAAAGATAGGAGAGGCTGTAAACAGGGGTTAGAATGGGAACTTCTATATAATCATAATTTCAGTGGTGGCTGTTCTGCTATAATATTGAACAGAACCTTCACAACAAGAAGGTACAACCAAAACAAAACTAGGTCCTAGCCTTGTTTCAAAAATGGAATCTGAAATACTCATTGATCAAGTACTACAGGATATATTCATAAACAGAATTGTGAACACAATATTGGAGAAGGATGATAAGTTTGTATGTCTTTTCCATTTCTGTGCACTCATAATATGGTGCTGCTTAATAACTCATATTAGTGTGAAATCAAATTCCCATGAACCTAGGTATGTGGTAAATGTGAGTTTCCTGGGTGGTTTTCTTCACTCAGTGGTAGTGCGCTTGATGTTGCGATTGATGTCCGGGATTGCAGTCTCTCATTCTTAAATATTGTAAATGTATAAGAATTTGCATGCTGTAAATAAAAAGGTCTACATGTTCTCCAGTTTAGTATGTAAAAATTGTTGCAAGGAACAAAATCTCTACTCTTGGAAAATTTCCAGGATCCTACTGCAATTCACTCATGCTTATGTGCTCAGAAGTTGCAGGCAGCTTTACTCTGATTAAATGCTATCAATAGTACCTGAGACAAGGTGGGCGAGGTAACGTCTTTTATTGGACACACTTCTGTTGGTGGAAGGGCTTTTGAGCTTCATTAACCTCTTCCTCCGGTCTAGGGAAGGTAATCAGAGTGTCTTCAATAATACCTGTTCAGTAAGTGGCACCTTATTAGAGTTCTTCTTCTCATCCTCTAATGTCTAAGGCTGCAATTCAGCAAAGTGCTTAGGCATATGCTTAAGTTCACCCCTGTTCAGCAAAGCACTCAAGCTTTGAACTGTTTAAAATTAAGTACGTGCTTATGTTACTTCATTCCACAGACCTACTGCTCTCTGCAGTTAAAACCACAATTTGGATTTGTGTGCTAGAAAATGTAAGACATTTAATTAAAGCCTTGTAATTATTATCTTTGTTAATAGCCTTGACTAGTATAGGCCAATTTATGTTCATAAAGTATTAGAAACGGAATTAAGAAATTTTCCATCTCTTCTTATGAATACTTTATAAATCCTTGCCAAGCTAGTTACTTGCAAGGAGAAATATCCAAGTGTGCTTTTCCTGAAAATTCCTAATAAGAGTATGTGCTGAAAATGCTTCTATAAACTGAGTGTCTGAGACTAGGAAACCATGGATATCTGGTCTATAAAATTGGTTTTAATATGCTTAAACATCAATCCTAAACTGCTAAAATATGTAGTGCAGCCTCCCCAAGGCAAGTGCCTTTTATTTAAGACCATCATGTTCATCTTACTAGATCTATACAAATTGCATATTCCTTTAACAAAAAATCCAAATTTTGAAAGTCTATTATAAATTTTACCAGGTACAAAATAATTTAAAAATAAACAAAATATATACACACACATACAAAATGGGAGGTGACTGCCGAGGAAGGATTACTGCAGAAAGGAATCTGGGGGTCATAGTGGATCACAAGCTAAATATGAGTCAACAGTGTAATGCTGTTGCAAAAAAAAGCAAACATTATTCTGGGATGTATTAGCAGGAGCATTGTAAGCAAGACACAAGAAGTAATTCTTCTGCTCTACTCCGCGCTGATTAGGCCTCAACTGGAGTATTGCGTCCAGTTCTGGGAGCCACATTTCAGGAAAGATGTGGACAGATTAGAGAAAGTCCAGAGAAGAGTAACAAAAATGATTAAAGGTCTAGAAAACATGACCTATGAGGGAAGATTGAAAAAATTGGGTTTGTTTAGTCTGGAGAAGAGAAGACTGAGAGGGGACATAACAGTTTAAGTACATAAAAGGTGGTTACAAGGAGGCGGGAGAAAAATTGTTCTCCTTAACCTCTGAGGATAGGGCAAGAAGCAATGGGCTCAAATTGCAGCAAGGGCAGTTAAGGCTGGACATTAGGAAAAACTTCCTAACTGTCAGAGTGGTTAAGCACTGGAATAAATTGCCTAGGGAGGTTGTGGAATCTCCATCATTGTCCTACCTGCTCTTAAAAATCCCCAAACACCTGTCAGGGATGGTGTAGATAATACGTAGTCCTGCCTTGAGTGCAGAGAACTGGACTAGATGACCTTTCGAGATCCCTTTCAGTTCTATGATTCTATGATGAAACAATAACAGGAGCAAGCTTACTGATCTAATTTAAAAAAATCCCTTTAGCATCTTGATGGATAGAAGGTTACTTTCATTATGGGTCCTTGACTTTCCCTTCTTAGGATTCACTAAATCATAGGAAAGAGTCTATTGCTGCATGTAGACTGCTGTATTATTAATCTTTGGCTTAAAGGCAGAAGATGAAATCATTCTGTGAAGGAAAAATCTTGGTAAAAGAGACATTTTTTTAAATGGAATCAGTGTTCTCTGCCTGGCAGTTTAGTCACTAACCAAACAGAACAACAATTGGTTTTGCCTGATGTCTAGGAAGATTCTTTTTAACTGACATTTCTTGCCCACATGTTTTCTGCCTCTCTTTATTTATTCTAATATTTCAGTCATGATGACTAATTAACAATTTTACCTGCTAGAAATCAAGTTGAATCTGAGTAGTATTGATTAATTTTGAAATCAAAGCTGAAATTCTGAATTTTGCATGGAAATTTCTAGTAAAATATAAAATATTTTGCATATAAAATAACATGCCAGACACACTATTTCTTATTCTGAAAGCATATGACTCATGTACCCTAAAGACTTCTCTCCAGTAAATTCCGTATGTTTAGCAGAGAATTGCTTTACATATGTCTGGATTTTTTAGAAATTAGTGGTTTTTTACAGAAGACACAGAAGCATGACTTCTGTTGTAACTTTTAAGCAAACATTAGTCCTCGGACTTTAGACTTTTTCACAGTCCCATGGAGAAAAATTGTTTTTTTTTGTATCTTGCATGTTATATAGTATTTATAAAGGTACAACACGTTTATAAAGCTACAGCACAGCATTTATCAGGGACTTGTTAGCATGTGGCTGAAATGTTTCATTAAAGTTTAACATCTGTAGATTGGTAGACATATTATACAGCAATTTCTCATTTTGTTTTTAGGAAGAAAAGTCTAGAACAATCTATTAATCATTTCGGTGATGGTTCTGAAGAAGAGAATGGCTTCTGATGGTGACAGAGTGCATCCTTTGTATCCATAAAAAGATAAGTCAGAAGAAGAGAAATTGGAACTATTGATTGATATTTGTTCAGCTGATGGGGTTTCCTGACACCACTGAAGAAGTCTAATGGATTTTCCATCACTAACATCACTGGAATGGTATGAAAATGGGACACAATCTTTCCTGGCAGAGTTGTTGTAAAATATTCGGTTAGGTAGTATTTGCTGACCACATAAAACGTTTCCCATCTCCTCCCCCCCAACCAAAAACTTAAGTCACCAGTTGAATCTTAACCCATTTTGTAAGATTTTTAATTTTATTTTACATTATTCTTACATGCTTGTTTTAATTTAAAGGGTGATGGTTTCTACCCTGCAGAGGGAATTAATAAGCTGATAATCCACAAACTACTGCTGCAAGGAGAACTTGTCAATATGGGGGGCGGGGAAGAAGGGAGCAGTGTTTCAAATTCACTTTTTTTCCCTCCATCATTTTCTTCCATTTTTGCCATATGATATAATTTGTTTTCAAGTACTGCCAAGGCAATGATACATTCAAAGTACACACACACATAACTCTGACCAGAGACAATGGCAGTTTCCTGTCTTAACGGACTGCAGGATTACACACTGGGTGCTTTTGTGACGCTATATGTCAGGTTGCACCTTGTAAATTTATTAAATGAGCTGTTCAAGCTTCTGAATAGAGAGATTCAAATTTTGCCAAACTCTGGAATATTCTTTCCTTTTTCCAGTGTCATTTTGTTCACAATCTTACTGCATTGCCTCATGCCCTTGATCAAGAGCACTGACAGCTGTGGGATATTCAGCCTGTTTAGGACTAGACCATGGCTGGCCCTAATGCAGCTGCACTGGAGGAATATGGGGAGTAATATACACTCTCTCATTGCATGGCCTACCTGCATCTGGGTGCCGGGTATAGGGTGGGGGTTGAGAACAGGCTATATATGCCCATTGCTCCTCCCTGTGAGGGTGTGAGCAGAGAGGGGCATGGGGAGGGGCAGGAAGTAGGAGGTGCCTGGACTTCTCATCTCGCCAGTGTTGCTAATTATTGTGATTTTGTCATGTGTCACAATATTTGATGATTTGCTTCAAGCTCCAGCTCCTGAAGTCAGGTGATTAGATGATGATCTCCGCTTTCATTTTAATCAAGTTAGTTTCTAGCTCTTGTGATTACAGAGAAAAGCTTGGAAATGGGACCCAAGTGTATGATAAAGGCTCAAAAATCAGGAGGCAAAGTGAGAGAACCCAAATGGCATTATTATTTTTAAAATCATATTAACCCAATCTCATTAGTTTGGGAGGGGGGAAGGGCATGACTTGTGCAGTACTGCTTCCCTCAGAACACACTGACTGATGGAGGTAGTAGAGTGTGAGTGGGGCATAAGTATCTGCACCAGGTATAAAGCTTGTCAAGGTTCCTCCCCCACTCTGAACTCTAGGGTACAGATGTGGGGACCTGCATGAAAAACCTCCTAAGCTTATCTTTACCAGCTTAGGTCAAAACTTCCCCCAGGTACAAAATATTCCACCCTTTGTCCTTGGATTGGCCGCTACCACCACCAAACAAATACTGGTTATTGGGGAAGAGCTGTTTGGAAACATCTTTCCCCCCAAAATACTTCCCAAAACCTTGCACCCCACTTCCTGGACAAGGTTTGGTAAAAAGCCTCACCAATTTGCCTACGTGACTACAGACGCAGACCCTTGGATCTTAAGAACAATGAACAATCCTCCCAACACTTGCACCCCCCCCCTTTCCTGGGAAATGTTGGATAAAAAGCCTCACCAATTTGCATAGGTGACTACAGACCCAAACCCTTGGGTCTGAAAACAATGAAAAAGCATTCAGTTTTCTTACAAGAAGACTTTTAATAAAAATAGAAGTAAATAGAAATAAAGAAATCCCCCCTGTAAAATCAGGATGGTAGATACCTTACAGGGTAATTAGATTCAAAACATAGAGAACCCCTCTAGGCAAAACCTTAAGTTACAAAAAAGATACACAGACAGAAATAGTTATTCTATTCAGCACAGTTCTTTTCTCAGCCATTTAAAGAAATCATAATCTAACACATACCTAGCTAGATTACTTACTAAAAGTTCTAAGACTCCATTCCTGGTCTATCCCTGGCCAAGACAGAATATAGACAGACACACAGACCCTTTGTTTCTCTCCCTCCTCCCAGCTTTTGAAAGTATCTTGTCTCCTCATTGGTCATTTTGGTCAGGTGCCAGCGAGGTTACCTTTAGCTTCTTAACCCTTTACAGGTGAGAGGAGCTTTCCCCTGGCCAGGAGGGATTTTAAAGGGGTTTACCCTTCCCTTTATATTTATGACAAAGCTAGTGAGAATTACACTCTTATTCCCCCTGGGAGCAAGAGGGGATCCTCTCCAAGTCACAGCTCCTTCCTCTGCCTGCTCCTGAGGTGGCACCGTTGTGTACCGCTCCCTGCTCAGGGTATTGAGCAAAGGTTTAATTTAGCAATTAATGATCCTGGTTACAAACCATCTGATAAGCAATTAAGAGGATAGTGCTGGATTTGCTTGATTTCTGAATCTTTAAACTGGTTTTAAAAATACAGTGGTGAGTGTTACCCTGAGTAGAAGTGATGAAAATGTGTTACATTTATGCAGTTAACCCGAAACTTTCCAATGTAGGTGCCTAAAGTTAGATACCCAAATTCACCTGGAATAAGTACCTGATTTGTCAGAGGTTTTGAGTAATGGCAGCTGCCGTTGAGCTTGAACTCACTGGAGGTGAATTTTGAAGTCAATGGGAGCAGTACGTGCTCAGCAGCTCTGTAAATCAGGCTACCTGCTTCATGCTTAAATGTGGGTTGAAGTGCCTATCTGTAGGCACCCATATTAAAAAGTTTGGTCTAAATGTGGTATAATATCTCCACATCTTATCTTCATGTGGCACATCCTCCACATGAGGATATCGTAAATCAACTGAAATGGAATGGCTCTGGCTCAGTCAGAGCTCAGGGATACTGTACAGTTAATGACTCAAAAGTACGTGGTAACTTCCAGTACAATATTAACATCACTTCACGTTGACTAATTTCTGTCCTCCACATTTCCTGTATGCCCATGTCAAATAAGGCTACCTTGGTGTTTTTGTCTTTTGTGATAGAAGAACAAATTCCATTTCTAAATTTACATACTAAAATATGTGTAGCTCAAGTGTTCTTACTCTTCCATGTTAAGGTATTTTACGAAAGATCAGATGAGAGATGTAAAACAATTCTAGCAATCCAAACACTTGAGGGCGATTTTGATTTCCTTACTTGGAATTCAATGTGAATTTAGCCTATCATATGTAAATACAATAGGAATTTTGCTTGGGTATGGGTTTCAGGAATAGCTCCTTGGAGAATATCTGAGAATCTCAGTCTACCTTCAAGTTTAGAAGGAATTCATACTTTTGAAAGCTTTTGTCATGACATAGAGTACTTCTAATTACAACCTCACTTTGGTTTATTTTAACCTCTTCATTAAAGACGGTCCCAGAGGTATGTAACTTTTAAAATTGAATCTGAATCCAAATTTCCCACAAAAGTAGGGAGTAGTGGAGGCAATGTTTTTATTATGGGTCATCTCTAATCTAGAAGATAATGGAATATATCATATGCTGTAGCTAGCTGTTCTCTTTTAATAATAATAATAATAATTAATAATCATAATAAAGGCAGAAAAAGCCTTAAGAGCCACCTATTCCATGAAGGGTTCTTGTTACATGGAGTTTGTTTTTTTTGCCTTGAATTTGCATTTACCTCTAGAATCACTGCACTACGCATATGTAATTGTTTTTTAAATTTCTTCTGGCCTTCAGTGTTCCCTTGTGCCATATTCCCAGTCCCTTCAGGGTTACTTCTCAGTTTCTCTGTCTTTCCTTATGGCAGGTGACCTCTGCTCTTCTCCTGGAGCTGGGTAATTCAGGCAGTTGTTACCTCTCTCCTTTGGCCAGGAGTGCCCAGTTCTCCTGCATCTGGGTTGTAATTTTAGTCCAGTGCAGGACCTTAGCCAGCTTATCCCTCAGCTTCCCATGTAGTTCTCAGGCTCAGAGGGTTTGGTAGCTGTCTTCTGCTGGTATCTGACCTTTTTATGAGAGACTAGACAGGATATATGCTAGTCCCCATCCCTGATTGTTTGGGTAAGATGGGAGCCTTGCCATGCTCTCTCTGCAAGGCTCCTCAGATCCTTAAAGATACAGTGAAAAGCACCATTCACTCCCAAGACGGCTTCCTCTCTCTCCATATCCCCATTCCATCCTTATGTTGAACTTCTTATATCCATAAACGGCCATGCCACATGTTGCAGGGGGGACTGACAACTAGGCACTACTACCTTTAAGGGGCAGACTACCCTATCACAATGAGATTTTATGGTTGGAAAGAGGTAGGGGAAGGACTACAAAACAAAACAATTTTTTTTAATTCTAGTCAATTAAAAAGGAGTCTCTGGTCTATTTATACTGGATCCTAATGGGAAACTGAGGCAAATATTCACTAGTAGTGTTGTCTAGTTCAGTAATCAGAGCAAGGGCCTGGGAATCAGGATTCTAGGTTTCTGTTCCTTGTTTGCTACTGATCTGAGCAGAGAGGTGTTACTTTGGGCAAGTCACTTGACTCCTATAAATCTGTTTACCTATGTGTTAATTGAGTATGTTACTTGCATATTATTGTTGTTGTTACATTATAAGTTAATGTTTGTGAACACTTTGTCTATATGTCTTTAATTTAAGGATCTCAAACACCAAGTGCTAAAGACTGTATTTGTCTTCGGTAATAATACAACCCCTGAATTAGCAAAAACATATTAGGTACAAAAGCAATATTTGTGTGCCCAATTGCAAATACCTTAAGAATGCCATAATTGTGTCATATAATTTGGTGATGAAGATTAAATGGATATTTAAAAAATTGAAGTCAATTTGCCAACTAATTCACTGCCAGGCATAAGTGCTGCTGTTCCTGCATTCTGTGAATAACTTGGTGTTCCATAGGTGATAAGGAAGAAAATCCGATTTCGTTTCTGTAACTAATCAATATGCAAACTAATCTACAATTTCCTACTTATTTGGAATTAGAGTTCTTTGTATGGTATTGATACACTCCTTGAATATTATATAAATCTGATTTAAATAAACAAACACTTTACCTGGACACATGCTTGGGAATATAATTGGAGTTAAAGGAGCTTAGTATTTTTGGATCTGATTTTCAGGTGGCATGCAATTTTCCATAGCATATGCAACCTTATAATATATTACTATTATAATTACAGAATTGTTTCTGTAAATAATAACTAATAGTGACGTATTTCCTGACTCCCTTAAGGCGAGAGGTTGTAATGGAACTTTAAGTTAATATTGTACAGTTTCCTGTTCTATTTACAACATGAATTAAATGTAATGACGCCTGTTGAAGTCAGTCGGAAACTCCCACTGGCTTCAGATGACACAAGATCAGGCCCAGTGTCAGTTGTGAATGCTCAGTCTCTCTCAGGATCAGGTCCTAAATAAGAAGTGATTCATGTTTTTGTTAATGTCTGCTCTTTAACATGACAAGAAGGAAATCAATTTCTGGGAAACAGGGTTGGAGTGTGTGCATATTTAGATAATGAGGTGTTGTGTGGGGGAAAAGTTACATATGTGCTACTTTTACTTTTCTGGTCTTTGTTTTCTACCTCTATAAAAGCACAGTATACTGTATCTTATTGGGTATGCTAGAGAAAAGTACTACAAATTTTTAATGCTTTTTATGTAATTGCTTGAAGTAACACAGATTTATTTTATAATCCATTCAATGACTTTTGTTTGTTGATGTCTCATTTTGTCAAACCGTGCTGCAGTCTAATAGGTCGGCTTCTTCTTCTCCGTTTCTTTCAGGATATGAGAGAAATCAGCCATGATGGAAAAGTATTACATGCGGGACTGTGTTGAGGACTACTTGAATTGTTAATGTCTAACACAGAGGGTTGCTTGGCTATTGGTTCAGTGTGGCGGGAGGGATTTTTACCGTAAACTTTAAAAATAACTATGTCCAAGAAAAGCCGTGCCAAGGGAGAGAGATCCGACATGGAGATAGAAGCAGTTCAGGCTGCTAATGAGGAACTACGGATTAAACTGACCAACATCCAGATAGAATTCCAGCAAGAAAAAAGCAAGGTATGTGTTTGCATGCTCTAAGAATGCTTCAGAGTGGTATGTTAGGCTATGAACCAGCAGACAATTTGACACCAATGTCTCTCAAAAATAATGTACTTTCAAAATTAGTTGATATTGGCTTGGATCTCCACACTGTTCTGTGGACTGTACACTGGCTGAGGGACCATGGCCAGAATGAAATGAATAAAGAGTGAAGTATTAAACCGTGAGATGTGTAGTGAAATGTAATTGTTCTAGGTCCAGTCTTATTTAAAATCTTCATTAATAACCTGCAAGAGGGAGTAAATGTCTGTTTGTTAAATATGCAGTGTTGCTAAATCGAGAGGTATTAACAAAATGTGACTATAGGAAATAAAATGAATGATCAGGAGGTTTGTATCAGAGCTTAGTTTTTCAAACTGTGAAAGGAATTGAAGGGAAAGTTGAACTCCTAAGTCACATTCAAAGCATTCCACTTAAGTGCATATGCAGAATGCAGACTGACTGTGGTAATCATTGATGCAGTCCTGATTTGATCCCATTAGGTTGCATGTGTTATTGGCTATTTGCATTTGGAACAGCGGTCTAAATGTTGCTCTTCACACTGTAATTGCTCCAGATATGTGAATAATCAGTGGCAAACCCAAGAGATTTTGTTTATTCATCAATTATATATATTTAAACAGCTGTTAGCATATATAATTTTATTTCCTTGCAGCATGTCAGAAGTGGATGGACCAGTAGGCTTATTATTAATTCATTTAGTACCTTCAGTGCACTTGGCTCCCTACAAAACACAAAGAATTTTATAGACTGGCAGATCCACTCTAATATTTTTTCTGCAGTTACAGATAGTCTCAGAAGTGTTATATGTAACCCATAGCATGAATAAATATGGGTGAGATAATGATGTAAAGAATAAATTCTGATCTCTACACTAAATTTTTCACATAGCTGAGTAAAAGATTTCACATACATCCCTTTGTATGTGGATTCAGAGACCTGTAGTCAGAGCAAACATTTTATCACTACCCACTAACACTTCCAGGTGGCTCATCTTGTCTTTTTCCATCATTATTTTTAAGGTAGATTTTGAAGCAGAAGCAAAAAATTCTTTCGGTCTGTCATTTGCAAGATATAAAAATGGTCTCGACTAACACTTTTTTTCTGCTTGGTCTTTCATCTGAAGACTGTTCGTTACTGGAACAGGAGAATCTTCATAGGATCTTTGGAGTTGTGATTCTGCATTAGGCTATCAGCTGATCTCCAGCTCTACTTCCTCTTCTGTGCCCTCTATAATTTTCTGAGAGGGTAATGATGCTGGATCTTAGGCTTTGTCTACACTACACAGCTTTTAGCGACACCGCCGTGTTGCTAAAAGTCGGGCAGTGTAAATGCTGTTTGCTGGCACTTTTGCTGACAAAATACTTCCACCCCCTACGAGCTGGATTCACGTTGTCGACAGGAGAGCACTCCTGCCGACAATGAGCCATTTACACTGCCATTTGCTGCGGCAAAACTTTTGTCTTTCGGGGGCAGCAGCTTTTTTAATCACTTGTGAATGACAAAAGTTTTGTCATTCAATTGGCAGTGTAGACAAAGCCTTACACAGGTTTATTATTTTATATAGTTAATTTAAATAAAATGTTGCAGACGAAAACTCAGATTTCTTTTTCTTTCGAACAAGATCTTGCTCAGTTGCCATAATAAATTCAGTATGGAGCTGGTGGAAAATCAGAATTTCTGTCCCCTGGGAAATTGACATTTGTTTTTCATCACAAATTGGGACAAAATGTTAAAATATTTTGCGGAACAGAAAGTTATGAAAAACCTACTTACAGATAGAAATTTTTACTTCTCCTTCTTGCACATTCCTCCTTAGAGTTTACTTTTAAACTGTGGCGTTTGAGCTGCAGCCTGATCCCTTCTTAATGCTTCTTGTGGAACAGTGCAGCCAACGTTATTGCTGTTTCCCTCTGCCTCCCCTTCCCCCACAGATAAAATGAGTAAACTGTAATGCTGGGGGTGGTATAAAGCTTTCTGTGCTTCTTAGTACAGCAGGCCAGGAAGCTTGCTAGCCATTCAGGCCTGTAAACCCAGGGAGAGACTGACAATTGTGCTGTAGCTCCGCTATCCTTTTATAGTATCTCAGTGCTGCGGTGTTTTAAAAGACAATTCTCAGTTTAAATTTCACCGTTCTATCGAATCTGAAAAAAAAATTTTTTTTATTTCTCAGCTATTTTGCTTCATTTTCGTTCTTAAAGTAGCTCATATATACAGGCAACGCCAGTGGCCTGATAGTGTGACTGCTGCATTATTCTACCATTAGAAACCATCTGCTTTGGAAGTTACCTTAAACTTATATTCTCCCAGCTGGAGGGTTGCCATGGTGGAAACTCTGTGTTTATGAAAGGAATCAGGGATATGTGAATGAAAGAAGCCAGGCTGCATTGCCCTAAAATCCAGCACTTCTTTAATGCAGCCAGAACAATTGCACAGCGATACCTGTATCCCCTACAGTGCGGGTGACGCCATCCACACTTCATGTCCCATACTCTCCCTCAAACCACACACCCCTGCCATCCAAGTAGTGAGGGAGGGGATGCTACCTAATCAGTGTGTCTAATGGAGGAGTAAAAGGGTAGATGTGAGTAAGTGGTAAATGGGTAACAGTAAATCTGAAAGGATTAGGCCACACTAGTTGTTTGTTGTTGTCAGAGTATAGGGATAGGGCCTGAGACAGAAGATTAAATCCTGGTCCTACAAAAGTTAATGGGGCTAGGATTTCACCTAGAGAGAAGTGAGTTTGATTGAGGGAATGACCTCGTGTGCTGTCACTGAGTTCTCTGTACTATCAGATCATGAAGCTCCTGCGCAATGATAGAGAAGAGCTAAGAGACATAAGGAAGGTGAGCTAGTAGCAGAGACAGTCCAACAGGTGGCAACGGATGCCTCAGACACCATAGTGAGACACCACAATGGATGCCTCAGACAGCACAGAGGTCTGTGGCCACAGTGGTGGCAATGTTTAGAGCATTGTAGCTCCTGGCTACAGCTGAGGACTTGCCCTTTGAGAGAACAGAGCTATTTAGCAAGTGAAGAAAATTCTCCATACTCTTGAAAGACTCAAAGGCCACTTTGTGGTGCCTGGGGATTTACATTCCAGCCCTGTTTTGCAAGCCATACTGTATGCAAGCCTACTTGAGACCACAGACGCATCCAACCACCACAGGCCACTGGAGTACCATGCCAAGAAAAACTCAAAATACAACAGTTCTCCTCCTCCTCAGCAGCACGCCCCACTCTTATGACACATCAGCAAATTTCTGGAACCACATCAGATCCAGTCAAGTGAGCACCTCTTTTGGAAGCTGCCTTGCCCTATTCCATCGGGTGTGATCTGCCTTGATGTCAGACAGATCGGTGTCAGAAATCATTGCCCATGACTACCACATCCCTTTCTAGGGCCCGGCATCATTGTTTCATCTAGGAGCCACAGAGGAGGTTCCACCAGAGTTCAGGGGATGGAGCTCCTACTCCAGATATCTCCTCATTCAAAAGCAGAAAGGGGTCTTTGTCCTATCCTAGTCCTGGGAGACTCAACAGATCGATATGCCTGGAGCCCATGTTTTTTGCAAATGTTAAATAACAAAATAAAATGACACAGTTGCTCCTAGGGCTCCTATCCTGTGGGGCTGGACTCAGCTCCCCACTGAACGTGTTCTAATCTAGTCCAAGGGCTCACAGTTCCACTTTCTCAAGTTTGGCCTGGCTGCAGCACCGTCATGACAGGGAGGCAAGGGGGTGCCTGGCCCAAACCTGAGCAGTGCTGCAACCCTGTGCACCAGATTGCAGGGCGTCTGCCGTAGCCTGGTGGGACAGCAGCTGCTGCTGCAAGGTAAGTGCAGGGCGGGCTCACTCTGTAACCCACAGCCTGAGTGAGGAGCTGGACCCAATGTTGTGGGATAGGAGCCACAGGAGCTGCCACTGCAGCCCACATGGGTGCAGGACCTGACATTTATCCTCTCATTTGCTGAGGCAGTTTTGGCTGTCCAAACCTTTTGCAGATGTCCACACAGTCTCCCATACCCCACCAGCCTGCCAGGACATAATATCTCAGAACCAAGGTCAGATGCTCAGTCATTACACCGAATGGCTTGGATGTTGGCTGGTTGAGCATTGGTGGCAGAGACTGCTCCCTACAGGTTCAGGAAGCTGCATTTGTCTCTATGCCTTTCTTTTCTTTTCCCTTTTGTGTTTGTCTTGTTTTGTCTTCTGGGAAGCAGCAGCAACAGCTTCAGCCCATCTTAACTGTCCTTTTGAGGAAAAGAGAAGTTAGTTATTTCTATCTTAGATACCATCTAAAAGACTGTCAAAAAGGATACTTTTCTAAAAACTCTCTGCAGCTAAAGAGAAAGGGATGTTGTTAAAGTGAAAGCCTTATTTAATATCATGTCTTTCAGATGCTTTGCCCAGTTTAACTACTTTTCTGTATCTCTGTTCAAATGTTACAAAGGATTTTTAATGGTGTGTTTACCATGGTGCTAAGCAGGATGAAGCCTCTGAATACTAAACTCTGAACCTTGTATCAAACTGTTTATTATGTTGGACAGTGACTGAGTTATATGAACATCCTTGGCCCATGTATCCACCTAACTTAATGCAACAGTGCTAGCACGGTTTAGGTATGCCTGGGTCATTGCAATTCTAATTTTGGTCTCAAACTTGACAAGTTTTGAGATCTTGAAATAGCACCTGAGATTCAGCCTAAATGAGATGTTTCACCCCAGTGGACTCGGTGTATTAGTTTTATGATTTCTAAATTAATTGGCTCCATAAAATCTCCTCATTTCTTGAAATTTCTTTTGGGTGTGGAAGATTGGTACCGCCAAGATGGAATCTATGGCCAGTACAATGCTATGACTGAAAAGTGAGTTTTTAAAACTTAACTCTTTTGATGTATGAAACTTAAGAAAACAACATGGTGTTGTTATAGGAGCAACAATGCTTTTAAATTTTCC